TTAGCATTTTCATTGCTTTGTTTGTTTTAGGATTTTTTTTGGGTATGGTGGAATAGACATAGGCACTAGAATTGGGGGTAAGGGGGAACTTGAAAATTTCTCTCGCTCTCCCATCGTAGTGTCTTCACAGCAACCGCATTGTCTCCCTCGTCCACGCCTTTGTCGCACTTGTGCTTTGCATGCTCTCTCTCCATGACTGGCAGCGGCCCTTCCCTTGCCTTGCCCACGCAGGTGAGAGGAAGAAATTCTCACACCTGAAAGAAAGATGAGATCTTCGGAGCAATCAAGGTATCATCTACGATTTCTTGTGCTGTCTTATGAAAAGCCTCACTCTTTCTAGTTTTAGCTGGCTTTAGTTGGGGATTTCGGCCTTAACGTTGCTCCAGTTTTACTCGGACGCATTTCAGCCATATCCCCTCAAAAGGGAGAGTAACAAACCTCCATCTCTCATGAACACGGTAAACCAGCTTCTTTCTCTTCCAACACAACGACAAGTTTTTCGATGTAGTGCAGAGGAGAACAAATCATTCCTGTTGATTTAAGGGTTAAGTTTAGGGTTACGGTTATGGCGGTCAGGAGGTTTTTCAGGAAGTTTTTCAATCGAACATCAGAGCCGAATGATCTGGCGGTCAGGAAGTTTTACAATCGAACATCAGAGCTGAATGATCTAAGGAATCACCTCACTCTCGTGGACATCGGGCATCCGGGTAAGATGGTTCTTGTGACGGGGCCAAGGCAATCGGGCAAATCGGCGCTTCTTCAAGAGTTCTGTTCTAGGCAGCGTGCCGGCGACTACCCTGGTGTTCCAGCCTTCGTTGACATGCGGGAGTGGAGCAACATCGACCCCTCAAAGTTTTGGATTAACTTAGGTGCCAGTTTTGAAAAGTCTCTTCAGCTCAAAGGAAAAGCGCCTGCAAAGCTAGGTCTCAAAGTCTTTTCGATGCCGAAGCTACGGCGACTTGGTTTGGGTCTCGATGTCGTGTCTTCGAAGCAGGATCCCATCGGCAGGGTGATGGCTGGTTTAGAGGAGTACACGTCCGCCATGAGAATGGACATGCCGGGTTTCCTCAATGGATTTCCCACGATATTCATCGACGAAGCTGATGCTCTGGCTAGCTGGACCAGAACCGCAGGGGGTGTTCAGGAGCTGGATTACCTATTGCGGTTCCTGGTGCGGATCTCTAAGCAGGAGAATGCAGCTAACGTGGTTTTGGCTTCATCAGAAAACTTCTTTAAGAAATGGTTGTGTGGCATGGAACCCTTCCTTGGTCATAAGGTCGTCCACGCAAGTGTTGGTCACTTCAACGAAGAGGAGGCCAAAGAGTTCGTGAGGCAGGGCCTCCAGGAATCAGACTTGAATCGGGAGGGGCTTGAAGCGGAGGTGCTTGCGATTTGGGATGACGTTTATGCTCACTACGGGGGAGCCATTATGCTGCTGTATGATCTTCTCCACATGGCACTACGCTCACAGCCTGGTGAAGTCTGCAAAAACTGGGAGGTGGCGAAGCGGCAGTGCATGAACGAAGCGACGTGCCTAGTCGAAGAAGGTTTTCATCCTAACAATATGGGTAAAGCTAACAAGATGGTCAAAGCTGCTGCGTGGACGCCTGATGACTGGAAGAATGTGGTGGAAGCCATGGCAGCTACCGAGGATGGAGTTCTCCCCTTCCATTTACTGTCTGTGTCTGGGCTTGAATCAATGGTCCGTTACAATTTCCTCGAATACAGGGAGCCGACCGGTTGGGACAAAGACATCAAAGCCATATCGACTCCGATCATCATGCCAGTCACAAGAGCTCAGCATCTGGCAATGAGACAAGTTGTAACTCGACCCAGTCGACACAACTGAATTATGGTTGGAATAAATCACTCTAATAAAGTGTTATGTTACTCTAATAAAATATTATGGTTGGATTTTGTTCCTAGCAATGAACTTACATCTCGTGAGCAGGCAGCCTTCCATACAAGGTAAGCTGTTCGTGTGAAAATAGCATCCCACTGTCTGAATTGGCCAAGTGGGCCCTCCTACTTAGAAGAAGATGTCCTCCTGCCTTACCTACCACACTTTTTTTATTACTTTGCCACGCTTGCCCGTGCTGTTAAGTCCAGTCAACAGGCCTGGGCTCTCCTGTTGACGTTGAGAGTGAGACCTTATCTTTATGAGGTAAGGTAAAAATATCCATTGTCAAGCTAAATGTATAAATTGTTATTTGCATAGGGATTTTGGAAGTCCCACTTCCAAAACTACTATAAGTTACTTTGCAACTTACTTTGAAATTTCAAAGTTGACAGTGTAGAAGTACATAACACTCATCGATGCCAATCAAAGGGGTGTATATAAGAAACAAAGGTACAATCATGTTTGGGCTAATGCTTTTATGAATCATGCTAGTGCAAACTAAAGGATTATCAATTCCCACTGTGGTGTAAGATATTGTTTTAGTCAACACCAATTACACCAGACTTTAGCTATATATAATCCAGCTAAACTTGACACATGATTAGAATTCACTATAAATATACTTAAATGACACATTTATGCATTGTGCCATATGGATTATAAATTTAATTTTATATTCTATAAATTATGATCATGGGATGAGATTTGGATATACTATCAACTTTAAATAGGAATAAAATAGCCATTAAAGGCTTTTTCATTAAACAAACCTATATCCTAAACAATCACATTGGTGGAGATGAGAAGCATTTATATATGGTATTTGAGCAAATGGTATGAGTTTGATTTCCATTAATTAATTAGTGGCTATTTAAAAATATAATATACTCTTTAGTAAGGTATTTTTCACCCCTAAATTTGAAATTATACTTCTTGGGTATTTATGTGTATGTCCTTCCTTTATGAATGACTAATTCCTTAGCTAATCTGCATAATAGAAAGATTTGTAAATTCAATGTTGAAATGAAGGACTTTAACATTTCTAAAGAGGGGGTACATCCTGTATGTTATCATGGGATGAAATTTAAATATATTATCATTGTAATAATTACCTCTTTCTAGAGTTGGCTTACAATTAATCTTGATATGCATTAAAAAAGTTTTACCATATTATAGAACAAAAATAATATAATGACAATTTATTTTATGATTTTAAACAAGTTTTTGGTTTGAGGCACCCTATTAATTAAAGAAGAGTAAAAGAATTTTTACATTTTACTTCACAATCTTTATTTTCTTCTTTTATTCTCTAGAAGACTCAATCAAAACATCCAAGTCACCCACCATATCCTTGGAAATATTTCTTCTTGCTATACTCCTAATAAAACACAATAAGATTGCTTTATTTCACATTTGAGCAGATAGAATACTAATGGATTTTCAAAGTTTTGCTTAGAAGTACAATTCTCGTCAATCAATTTTTAATTGCCTCAGTGATGGAGAAAGGATCTGCTTCAAAGAATCTCACGCTTCCGAATCCACATGATTCCAGCAAATTTTTCCATCCAGCTTTCGTTCTCTGGTACCGCTGGCTCCCCGACAAGAACATCATATCAAGCTGCAAGTGTAACTCCTTGCCTTCGTCCATGACCATGTCACAAATGATGATTTTCCCATCTGATTCGAGGGCCGAGTGACAGTTCTTGACGATCTTTGCCGCATCAGCATCCGCAAACATGTGTAAGAAACTCTGCGCTCAAACACATCTGATGTAAGATAGAAAAGAAACTAATGCCCTCACTTTCAAGAAAATGCCATCCCCAGGTGGAACGAAGTCCATAGCATCTCCGGGAACGTTTTCCACACCTGATAGAGTTTTCAGCAAGATCCAAGAAGAACTACAGATCATTACAAACTCGTACCTGGATATGCTGGAGCATTTGCAATGACCCGAGGAAGATCGAAGTTCACAGCCTGGATGTGCGGGTAGAGCCGCACAATCTGAGCCAGAAACGAGCCCGTGTCACCCCCAACATCGACAAGCCTCTTGACGCTCTTGAAACCATCGTAGACTCGCGTAATAGTAGCAGAGGTTGCCGTGCTTATACTCAGCCTGAAGTCTTCGATAACTTTCCAAAACTCTGGATGCGCTGCCACATAGTCCTGAGGTTCCATTCCATGAGCTTCCACAAAAGCATTGGAGTCGCCCGGCCGCTTGATGGCAGCATCTACATGTTGCCACGAACGCTGAGTGACTTCGGACGTGCAGAAGGAGAGAATGCCCCCCACGAAGACGTCACTGCTAGAGCCGTGGCTGACCAGCAGCCTGGACATGGGAGTGAGGCCATAGCGAGCTCCGTTGAGAGCGAGCACCTTCTTGAAGACGAGAAACCTGAGGAGTCGGAACAGCCTCTCGGCCTGGATGCTGTCTGCATCGTGCTTGATCCGTAGCTCCTGAATGATCTCGTCCAGAGTGGCTCCTTGCTCCGACGAGAACTTGGACACGATGTTGAAGATGTCGAGCTTGACTGCGGCCTTGAGAGCGAAGGGCGCCGCAAATCCCAGTGTGAGGCTCCAAAACTGGCTGTACGCTTCCATTTGCTCGCTCGTCGCCATTGCGAATTGCTGCTTGGCTGCTCTGTTTGATGGAAGAACGACCCCACCCTCGTTTCTTATCGGTGAAGTGTCGACATGATCTCTTCTTTTGAACAGGGCGAACTTGCCGCGGAGCTGCGGCCGCACCTTCCAAGAACCTCAAACATTTGGAGAATAGTGGTCTCTTTGTTCACGAGATCTCAGCGTGAGGACCTCTCTCGAAACCATGAATCGAATTCTTACCATAGTTCCCTGCGACAATTTTCTCAGCAATCGTGGGGAAGCGGAAGGAAGAGATACCTGCCTAACGTAGCAGCTCCATCGAAATATCTCGAAAGCGGTACGACCACTCTCAATCGTGGCGGGAGGAAGAGATACCAGTTTTAATGTAGCCATTGAAATATCTTCCATAACGGCAGCGATCGAGTACTCTCAATCGCTAGAAATTTCACTTTCCTGTGCTGGAGGAGGCCAAAGACGAGATCCATCCTCTGATCAGCGCCCGGCGACAGGATCGCGTTGCCGCTCTCAAGAATGCGTTATAAACCCTAGGTTTGATAGTCACTCTGTTTTTAGGGTTTATAGCAAAGATGACTTTCATGGACAAGCTAATGCGCGCAGTGGCGGCACTCGAGTACAAGGCGCAGCACCGCGATGATCTCGACTGGGAGGCCTTCAACAAGCGCCCAGAGCTTACACTCGGCACCAACTGGAGCATGGACAAATTTGACAGGTATTGCGAGCGCTACAAGCTCTTCTCCAAGTGTATCTTCCGCCACGGCCGGGTCATCGTGGTGGACGCTGGGTACACCAATCTGAGGTATGCCATAGTCATGTCACAGGTTAGCATTGCGCTCCAGCCGGCCGTTGGCATCCCCTGGCCATTCCAGCCCAAGGGATCCAACCGAGTGGTGAGATACTTGTCCCTGGGTGCCAGCCATCGATCTGTGATTCCAGGGCCGCCCCGGATCTTTGTGAGCGTCGGAGAGTACCAGACCTTGCCGGAGCTTCTCTCGTATGTGGACTCTTACATCCAGGAGCCAGGCTCAAAGCTCCAGTACCTCTTGGTGCTGAAGTTCTTCCCCGGGGCGGGCAACCGGATGGTGGCCGTGGTCTACGAGATCGTCGGCAGTGGTGGCGGCGAGGGTGGTGCCATGGTTACAAGTGCTAGCGCTGTGTCCTTTGGAGATGAGGCGCTGTTCCCGGAGACTCTGGCTTTCCTGGCGGAGCGGGAGATCCCAGTGACTGGTGTGGGACTCGGTGGAGAGAGGTGTGACAGAATTGGCATCCCGAGTTACCAGATTAAACTTGCCACTGCGAAAGTTCTTGAGGGAGGAGACCTTGAGCTTCCAGAGATCCGGGACAAGGGAGACAACCTGATATTGGATCTCTACAGTATCCAGGCTGCATACGGATGCCGTTGTCTGTGAAACTGGTTCTTCGTCTAGTTTTGGTTTGGCTTGCTAGCTTTCCTTGAAATGAAATTGAGAAAGGAATAGCAGGCCCGGCGCACGATAGCAGCATTGGGGTGAGCGCGTGAGTACACGCAACACACCATGTGATCCGGGCCATTGCCCCAGAACTTCAGCGCGATCACAAATCGGCATGATGGCAACGCGAAATACTCCTCGCATCTGCAGAGAACAAGCGCGATCACAAATGGCACAACGGCAACACGAAATCCTCTGCACCTGCGGAAAACGCCCTGAAGCGACTAACTTGTGGCAACTTCCACAAAGCCAGATGGAGCATCAACAGTACCATCCGGCTGCTGCATGCGGATCGTGACGTCGGGTTCCCTCCTCACGTTTGGTGCAAGATACGCGACGATCAAGAAGACACACTAGCTTCCATAGCCGGAGCGTGAAGGAAGCGAATCCCAATTACATTCTGCCATCTGTAAAGTACCGTAAAAGACCAGGTCAAGAAAGGTCAAAACTTCTTCCCGCCACGATCGCTAGAGCTTGGAGCTTAGGGCTAAGAGATTGTAGATTCGCTGCTGCTGCATTTTTTGTCCAACGCAGTAAGTAAAGATCTCTGTTAGAAATGGAGAAAGTGATCGGTACTTAGTTTCTTCGCCATTGCTGAGAGAACATCTGAGAATTCGATTCATGGTCTTCGCCTTTGAAGGATCAGTGATGTCACAATTCCGACTACGTTTCGAGGTTCTTGGAAGGTGCGCCACTTCATCACAACAGTTCTGGGGTCGTTCTTCCATCAAACAGAGCAAGCAAGGAGCGATTCGCAGTGGCGAGGAGCGAGCAAATGGAAGCGTACAGTCAGTTCTGGAGCCTCACACTGGGATTTGCAGCGCACAGTGAAGCTCGACATCGTCAACAGATATCCTGTCCAAGTTCTTCTCCGGAAGCCCAAGGTCTCCTCCCCCGAGAACTTTGGCAGTGGCAAGCTTAATCTGATAACTCGGGATGCCAATTCTGTCACAGCTCTCTCCACCAAGTCCCACACCAGTCACTGGGATCTCCCGCTCCGCCAAGAAAGCCAGAGTCTCCGGGAACAGCACCTCCTCTCCAAAAGACACAGCGTTAGCACTCGTAGCCACGGCACCACCATCACCGCCACCACCGCCGACGATCTCGTAGACCACGGCCACAGATGTATGAGCTCGGGACAAACGAGATAATGTCGGCTGCGAGATTGCCGAGAACGATATATAGATATCTACTCTTTGATTTAGACCAGACTACTACTTACTGCTCCGTTCTTCCCTGGATTCGATGTGGGAGCACCAATTTGATACGCAGAGGATCGTGGGCTTTAATGCTGGAGATCAGCCCTGCACAGCTCAAGGAATGCCACTGTATCAAGTACGTATTCCCGCAAATTGGATCTTTGGCAATCAACCTGTCCCTCCCCAAGCTCAAGCCGTGTATCACATCGACCTCTACCTTGTTCAACGCGCGTTTCACGAGCAAATAGGAAAGGCCGAGCCTTTCTTGTTTCGTGCTACTAGGGTTTAGGTAAGTTTTCTACCAAGAGCACGTTGAGGATTTCTACCAAGAACCAGCGCTCGGCCGGGTCACAAGGGATCCAACCGAGTGGTGAGATTGTCCCTGGGTGCCAGCCATCGATCAGTGTTTCCAGGGCCGCCCCGGATCTAACTCTTGTAACCAAAAGGCTTGAGAGTGCAGGTTGCGTGCTTCACAGAAACATATTCCGTTAGAAAAGCTACCAAAACTAGACGACCTCATAGTGCGGGGTAAAACTTGAGGTACTCGAGCCCGGATCCTGAAAATACGGGCTTTGGAGAAGGTGCTCCGGAGCCTGATCTGCTACTGCGACTTGGGACTGGCACTGTCCTCGGCCACGAGAGGAACTTGTCCATCTTCCACGGAAGCCAATCTTGCTCTCCGTGGTACCTAGTCAGTCATAAGTAAATTACTGGTGTTGTAACTTTCGGAGCTGGAACAGCCTTGACGTGCCGGGACGTGTAGTCTCGCAAGATCGATATCTCTTCGGTAGTGAACCTCGTGGCAAAATGGCAAAGTTAATCTCGGTGGCTCGCACTAATTGATTTAATTCCAGCATTGCACTGCGGAACACAAAAGGCAAAAGTAATCTTCTTTATCAACTGCAAAAGCTTACGCACGTTTCAATGTCAAGTTTTAGCTTCAGCCCTCGCATGTTCTCCAACAAGAAAACTTTAAAGTGGATGTGTCAACTCCTCATATCTGCAAACAGAGAACAGTGAAGAAGCAGCCACAACTTTAAACCAGACCTGCTCATCATTATCTCCATCATTTGCGCTGTTCCATCGCTAGGAAGAGGACTACCACTTGTTGGCTCAGGAAATGCCTTCAACATCCTGAAGAGACATGAGAACAGATAAAGAAAAACACAAATAGTGGAAAAAAGAACTTCAAGGAACCTGCTCAAAGATTCTGCAGTTAATCGAACGTCTCCTACTTCTGCTGACGCTTTCGAAATGTTTCGAAGAGGTCATCCCTGATAGACAAGAGCTGAAAACGTTAGTGTCTGATATTAATCACGAGCAAAATTTACCAGTTCCTCAACGTGCTCTTGGTAGAAATCTTTTATGGCCTCTGCACCTTGTCGGATCCAGTTCAAAGTCGTCACTACCAGCCAGCCGGGTATTCTTATTGGGCCTCTCATACAAAGGCAACTGCAGTCACTTAAGCTAGTCAGAAAGTACAAGTTCTTACATGCACTCTTTGATGTTGCTGAGATTTGCACGTAAGCACCAAACGACCCATCTCAATTTCTTCGTCCATCCAATCTCGTTTGGACATGATTTCTTTTGGTACTTAAGTGACATACAGGCGGGCCTTCACGTCGTAGTAAACATTCTATACACGAAAAACAAATTAAACCATGGATTGATTAGCACGACTCTACTTACAGGAGGTAAAGCGTAATTTCTTTGAGTTGCATCGTAGACACTTGTCGAAGCAGCCCTGATCAGAAATGCAGGAAACATGAAAAAGAACTTTTCTTGACAGAGTGCAATACCTGAGTCAGCAGTACTGCAAGCTGCTCCTGAATGATTCCAAGCATCGTTATGCTCTCGGTAATTCGACACGACGCATCATACACCAGCTTTTGAGTCGCAGAGCTTTCGGAGATTAAGGCACGAATCATGCAGGCCAAGCCTTCCACAAAGGCGTGAGGACCTCTCTCCAGACCATGAATCGAATTCTCATCATGTCAGCTCCCTGTGACAAAATTCCTATTGACCGCAGGAACATAAAGAAGAAAAACAAGGAGCAAACCTGAGATCGATGCTCACGGAGGCCAGGAAGAAGGTAGCAGCACTCATTCTTCCTTCTCGCAAAGTCAATGCCGACTCAGCAGCGCCTCAGTCACGAAGCCCCAAACCCTAGGGTTTTAACGTCTCAAGATAGATGGAAGAGAGCTCCATGGCCGGAGATTGTAGATGCCAGACCCACGCGGATTGTGGCAATTTGGCAACGGCAAATTGCTTGGGGCTCTGCCGCATATTCTTGGAATCAAGAGCCATTTACATTCTTCGAGTGTTTTTGGAGAAGCCATCTACCAGGTAGAAATAGAAGCCTATCTCTCGACTGATTTTACTTCCATCGCAAAATGCCGCTTTCTTACAATCAATTACATTACGACTATGTTTCGATTGTCGTCTCGCCATCTTAGCTCCGGCCAGCCTTGTTTTTGTATTCCATTCGCAACATAGAAAAGATTTTATCGCTAGAACATTAGATTTGGGTAAGCTTCCAGTTTTTGATATTAAGTTCCTATACACTTTGAGATCATTGTTTCATTGACAACAATTATATGCTGTATTTGTTGAATATGTGCTCAATACTTCGACAATGTTATGAATGTGATTTTCAAAGTTTTAATTTCGAGTACAAGGATAATACTCGTCAATCAATGTTTAATTGCCTCAGTGATGGAGAAAGGATCTGCTTCAAAGAATCTCACGCTTCCGAATCCACATGATTCCAGCAAATTTTTCCATCCAGCTTTCGTTCTCTGGTACCGCTGGCTCCCCGACAAGAACATCATATCAAGCTGCAAGTGTAACTCCTTGCCTTCGTCCATGACCATGTCACAAATGATGATTTTCCCATCTGATTCGAGGGCCGAGTGACAGTTCTTGACGATCTTTGCCGCATCAGCATCCGCAAACATGTGTAAGAAACTCTGCGCTCAAACACATCTGATGTAAGATAGAAAAGAAACTAATGCCCTCACTTTCAAGAAAATGCCATCCCCAGGTGGAACGAAGTCCATAGCGTCTCCGGGAACGTTTTCCACGCCTGATAGAATTTTCAGCAAGATCCAAGAAGAACTACAGATCATTACAAACTCGTACCTGGATATGCTGGAGCATTTGAAATGACCCGAGGAAGATCGAAGTTCACAGCCTGGATATGCGGGTAGAGCCGCACAATCTGAGCCAGAAACGAGCCCGTGTCACCCCCAACGTCGACAAGCCTCTTGACGCTCTTGAAACCATCGTAGACTCGCGTAATAGTAGCAAACGTTGCCGTGCTTACACTCAGCCTGATAACTTTCCAAAACTCTGGATGCGCTGCCACATAGTCCTGAGGTTCCATTCCATGAGCTTCCACAAAAGCATTGGAGTCGCCCGGCCGCTTGATGGCAGCATCTACATGTTGCCACGAAAGCTGAGTGACTTCGGACGTGCAGAAGGAGAGAATGCCCCCCACGAAGACGTCACTGCTAGAGCCGTGGCTGACCAGCAGCCTGGACATGGGAGTGAGGCCATAGCGATCTCCGTTGAGAGCGAGCACCTTCTTGAAGACGAGAAACCTGAGGAGTCGGAACAGCCTCTCGGCCTGGATGCTATCTGCATCGTGCTTGATCCGTAGCTCCTGAATGATCTCGTCCAGAGTGGCTCCTTGCTCCGACGAGAACTTGGACACGATGTTGAAGATGTCGAGCTTGACTGCGGCCTTGAGAGCGAAGGGCGCTGCAAATCCCAGTGTGAGGCTCCAGAACTGACTATATGCTTCCATTTGCTCGCTCGTCGCCATTGCGAATCGCTGCTTGGTTGCTCTGTCTGATGGAAGAACGACCCCACCCTCGTTTCTTATAGGTGATGCAGTGTCGACATGATCTCTTCTTTTGAAGAGCGGGAACTTGTCGCGGAGCTGCGGCCGCACCTTCCAAGAACCTCAAACATTTGGAGAATAGTAGTCTCTTGGTTCACGAGATCTCAGCGTGACGACCTCTCTCGAAACCATGAATCGAATTCTTACCATAGTTCCCTGCGACAATTTTCTCAGCAATCGTGGGGAAGCGGAAGGAAGAGATACCTGCCTAACGTAGCAGCTCCATCGAAATATCTCGAAAGCGGTACGACCACTCTCAATCGTGGCGGGAGGAAGAGATACCAGTTTTAATGTAGCCATCGAAATATCTTCCATAACGGCACCGATCGAGTCTCTCAATCGCTAGAAATTTCACTTTCCTGTGCTGGAGGAGGCCAAAGACGACAGCAGATCCATCCTCTGATCAGCGCCCGGCATCTGGCCTGGATCGCGTTGCCGCTCTCAAGAATGCTAGGGTTGGTAGTCGGTTACGAGTCTTTTGAATTACCAACTTGAACTCGCCACCGCAAAAGTTCTTGAGGGAGGAGACCTTGGGCTTCCAGAGATCCGGGACAAGGGAGACAACCTGATACTGGATCTCTACATTATCCAGGCTGCATATGGATGCCGTTGTCTGTGAAAGTGATTCTTCTTCTAGTTTTGGTTTCGCTTGCTAGCTTTCCTTGAAATGAAATTGAGATATCTAAATCAAAGAGTAGATATCTTGAATGTTTTCTTGAATGGATTTATATGACAATCTCGCAGCTGACATTATCTCGTTTGTTCCGAGCTCATACATCTGTAAAGAACGCGAGCGTACCTCGCAAGCATCACCGAGTTACCTTGACTGGATGAATCTGCGAAGACCGCCTCTTGGCTGGCTTTGGAGAAGGCGCTCTGGAGCCTGATCTGCTGCTTGCCGGAGACTGCGACTTGGGAGTGGCACTGTCCTCGGCCACCGAGAGCCTCCGCAACCATTTGACAGCTTTGAGGGGCTCCGCCTCCAGCGTCTTGGACTGCGACATGAGAAGCGTTGTGAACCACAACACGCTGGCTTTGGGCTGCCTCTTCAAGTCCAGGTCCTCTTGGTCCACGAAGAACAGGCCGAACTTCTTGGTGTAGCCCTGCGACCACTCGAAGTTGTCCACCAGCGACCACACAAAGTATCCCCGGACGTCCGCACCCTTCCGCATTGCTCTCACCACCGCGGCCATGTAGCCTTGGTGGTACCTGATGCGCTTCGTGTCATGCAAGCGCTCGGGCAGCGGGATTGTTTTGTCGTCCTGGTCGTCCATGCCGTTTTCGGTGATAAAGATTGGTGGCCGGTTGTACCTGTCGGTTATCCAGTTGAGGAACTTCTCCATCCCCCACGGAACCATGTAGAGCCACTCTGAAGCCGCTCGCTCTCCAATCGGCACCCCCATCTTGCTCTCCGTGGCAGTCACGACGGCCTGGTCGGTGAAGTAATTCACCGGTGTTGTAACTTTGGGAGCTGGAGCAGCCTTGACGTACCGGGACGTGTAGTGATTAATTCCAATGTAGTCGAGTGAGCGTCGCAAGCTCGATATCTCTTCGGCAGTGAACCTCGGCAACCTGTCCCCAACGTTCTGTCTCATGCACTCCGGATAGTCACCGAAGAAAATGGGATCTAGAAGCCAGCCAAGCTGAAACTCGATACGTCGCTGCGCGGCCTGCTGGTCCTCAGGGGACTCCGTGAAAGGCTCGGACCACTCGCCATCGCAAGCCAGACCAATCACACCACCTTGCTCGGACTGGAACTTTTTCCTGTATATTTCCACAGCTGCAGCGTGAGCCAGGAGCGCGTGGTGAACCGCAAGATATGGTTCCACCGCTGAATCACCGGCTGGAGACCTGGACTTGTCCGAGCACCTTCCAGGAGCATGGACGCCTGTCCCGTAACCGTTGACGCAAAACTGTGCCGGCTCGTTCAGCGTGATCCACTTCTTCACCCTGTTCCCAAATCTTGCAAAGCAAATCTCTGCGTAGCCTGCAAAGTAGTCCACCACTCGAGGATTTATCCAGCCTCCCACAATTGGTGCATCGTCGTGGATTCTCTGCGGAAGATCCCAATGGTAGAGTGTAACAAACGGCTCCAATCCTTTGCTGAGAAGCTTGTCAATGAGATGGTTGTAGTACTCCACACCTTTCTCATTCACGGAGCAGGAAGTGCCACCCATTCCGTCTGGGATGATCCGAGACCAGGAAATTGAAAACCTGTACGCGTTCATACCCATCTCGGACATCAAGTTGACGTCTTCCTTGTACTTGTGATACTGGTCCACTGACTTGTAGCCATTGCGACCGTCAGCAATCCGTCCAGGTACGTTGCAGAAAACATCCCAGATGGACAGTCCTCGGCCACCTTTTTTCGAAGCTCCTTCCACTTGATACGCGGACGTTGCAGTCCCGAAGGTAAAATCGTCCGGGAAATCCACGCGACGGACCTCATCGTATTCAGCAACAATTCCAGGAGGCCCGCCTTCGCTGCTGCTTGATGGTGACGGGGAGTTCACGTCCAGGATCAGGGAACGACGAGCTGAAGAACTCATCCACACCTGTTCAAGGGTCTGAATTCCTCCAGAAGAACCAGCATCATCTTCGTGTGTTGCGGCATTGTCGGAGGCTTGATGGACGTCATCCGCTGGACTACCGGGGTCATCCTCTGTTGCTTCCTGTTCCTCCATCTATCTAGCTCCAAAATTGTAACTGAATTTTGCGCGCGGACGCAAAAATATGGATTTCGCGCGACGACGTCATGTGTCACCGGCTCGAATCCTGACAGTGCCACTTTCACTAGAGTCTCGGAACTGGAGCAATACACTCGTACAGTCGTCCCATCCGAGCAGTTATCAAGAGCTTGTAGTGTGTGTCCAAATTCGGCTTTGCAAGGTCCAATACATCCTCCCGCAAGCTGCACACAACCGTTGAATCAATACAGCTTCGTTCGAATTTAAGCTACTTACCTGAACCATTCAGCCTTAGAGATGCCATTCTTAGAGAGGGCACGGTACAGCCTGTCAAGGGCATAGAGCAGCATTCCATACTGCCACAACGCTTGGCTTTCCTGAAAGAACAGCAGAATCATACAAAGGAAACGAAAAAATGCATACCTCGTTTTTATCTTTAAAAAGCTGGTATTGAATCACTGCTCTTTCGGCTTCAGCGACGAGCATTCTCCTCCGAAGCTGCGCCTTACGCCCCCTACCTTCTGCACCTTTAGACTGTAAAACGTGTTAGTGAAACAAATGTCCAGATAAGTGGCCGATACCTTGGAAAGTGAAACCCGAATCAAATATCCTAGGAAAACCGCAAAAATTACAGCAGGAAAAGCAGCCAAAATCGCAAAGTTAATCTCGTTGGCTCGCAATATTTGATTTAGTTCCAGCATCGCACTGCGGAACACAAAAGTGAAAAGGAATCTTCTATATCAACTGCAAAAGCTTACGCACGTTTCAATGTCAAGTTTTAGCTTCTGAACTTGAATCAGCAACGCCCTCGCAAGTTCTCCACCAAGAAGGCTCTGAAGCGGGTGTGTCAACTCCTTTTCATATCTGAAAACAGAGAACAGTGAAGGAGCGACAACTTTAAACCAGACCTGCTCATCATTATCTCCATCATTTGTTGCTCTGTCGCATCGCTAGGAAGATGACCACCGCTTGTTTGCTCCGCAAATGCCTTCAACATCCTGCAGAGACATAAGAACAAATAACACAAAATAGGAATAGTGGAAAAGAAAAGAAAATTAACAAAACCTGCTCAAAGATGCTGCAGTTAATCGAACGTCTCCTACTTCCGCTGATCCTTGGTGACGCTTTCGAAATGTTTCAAAGAGATCGTCCCTGATAGACAAGAGCTGGAAACATTCCTGATTAGGAGTGTCTGTTACTAATCGCGAGCAAAATTTACCGGTTCCTCAACGTGCTCTTGGTAGAAATCTTTAATGGCCTCTGCACCTTGTCGGATCCAGTTGTCAAGGTCGTCACTACCAGCTAGCCGGCTATGTTTTCCAATCCACCCGGAAATAACAACGAACGCTAAAGCAGTGACAGAATAATGGATCCAAAATCTAGTTATCTTCTTGGGCCTCTCATATAAAGGCAACTGCACAATTAAGCTAGTCAGGAAGTACAAGTAACGAGGCATCTTACCAGGAACGCCATGCACTCTTTGATGTTGCTGAGATTTGCACGTAAGCACCGAACGACCATCCCAATTTCTTCGTCCGTCCAATCTCGTTTGGACATGATTTCTTTCGGTACTTCAGCGACATGCAGGCGGGCCTTCACGTCCTTGGAAGTGTTTGGACCATAGTAGGCACTCTACACGTGAAAAACAAATTAAACCATGGATTGATTAGCACAACTCTACTTACAGGAGGTAAATCGTAATTTCTTTCGAGCTTGATCATTGCATCGTAGACATTTGTCAA